GAAATTATCGAACAATATAATTAATATCACATGCAAGCAAGATTCTGCTGAAAATTATCCAAAAATGACTGGAGCAATATGTCAACAGAGAACTGCCAGATGTGCAGGCTGGATTTAGAAGAGGTTGTGGCACTAAGGATATTATAGCTAATGTTAGATGGATCTTGGCAGAAAGCAGAGAATACCAGAAGAATGCCTATCTGTGCTTCATTGACTATGCAAAGGCTTTTGACTGTGTGGATCACAACAAGCTATGGCTGACTCTGAGAAGAATGGGAATCCCAGAACATTTGATTGTGCTAATGCGAAACCTATATTTGGACCAAGAGGCAGTCATCAGAACAGAGCAAGGAGACAACAGATGGTTCAAAATCAAGAAAGAGGTCCGTCAGGGATGTATTTTGTCTCCATACCTTTTCAATCTGTATGCAGAACAGATCATCCGAGACACTGGGCTGTACGAAGAGGAATGTGGCATCAGGATTGGTGGAAGAGTCATCAACAACCTACATTATGCAGATGATATTACCCTGCTTGCTGAAACTGAGGAGGACCTGAAGCACTTGCTGCAGAAGGTCAAGGACTGCAGTCTTCAATATGGATTGAAGCTCAGTATCAAGAAAACAAAGATTCTTACCACTGGGCTGATTGGCAGCATCAGTATGGATGGTGAAGAGATTGAGATAGTTAACAGTTTTAGTTTACTTGGTTCCACAATCAACACTCTTGGTAATAGCAGCCAGGAAATCAAGAGACAAATTGCATTGGGAAAGTCAGCTGTGAGGGACCTCTCAAGAGTACTGAAGAGCAACGATGTCCAGCTGGAGACTAAGGTGTGCCTGAACTAGGCTATAGTCTTTGCAATTACGTGCCATGCATTGGAGAGCTGGACAGTGACTAGGGAGGACAGAAAGAGAATTGATGCCTTTGAGCTGTGGTGCTGGAGAAGAATGTTGAATATACCATGGACTGCTAGGAGAACAAACAGGTTTGTCCTGGAGAGGTTGAAGCTGGAGTGCTCCTTGGAATCAAGGATTCTGAAGCTTCGTCTGACATACTTTGGACATGTTGCAAGGAGGTACTGGTCCTTAGAGAGGGATATCATGTTTGGGAGAGTGGAGGGAGAGTGCAGGAGAGGAATACCCTCAATGAAATGGATCAATTCTGTGATTGGAGTGGTGGGAATGAGTGTGTTTGAGATGGTGAGGTTGGCACAGGATAGAACGGCGTGTAGGGCTCTTGTACAAAGGGTTGCTATGAGTTGCAAAGTAACTCAATGGCACATAACAACAACAAAGATTAGTTGTTACCAAGGGTGGAAGGAAGGGGAAGAGGAGTTTTTGCTTTGAGAGTACTGACTGTCTACAGTGGTGAAATACTTTCGAAAAGGAGAGCAATAAAGATAATATAACATGAAAAATTCAATCAGTGCCACAAGTTGAGGAATGTTTTGGTGTGTATATTTTGACCATACCAAAAAAAAAATCCTCATTTAGCTCTTTATTCAGCTTAGATTTTGATCCATTAGTTTAAGCATCTCCTCACACATCCTCAATAATCTTATCTTTTTCTCTAGGCAAACCCTAACCAGAATATCTTATTTCCTTGCCCTTATTCAATTAACACTGATAACCCACTCTGGTGACGTAGTGGGAAGAATCTGCACTGCAAGCCGAGAGGGATGTGGTTCAAATTCACCAGCTCCACCAATGGAGAGAGAGACCCAATCTCCTGCCAACTAACACTGATAACTAAGACTGTTTACCGACCTACTCTCTTCCTCTTTCACTCTCTCTGTATTACTATATTACGTATTTGGAAACAGGAGTGGTATTCACTTCCTAAACAACATGCCTCTGGAAACTCTATGAACTTTGATAAATGTTGATAATTATAGAAAGGCTTCAGGCCCTTTGTTCACGGGGTCACTGTGAGTCATGCTCTACTCGAAGGCAATCAACAAAATTACATACATTATTGTTGTGCACCAGTAAGTCAGAACAGACCCATGGCTGACCTTCTCAGCAGGCTTTCAGAGACAGTTAATCATATAGGAGGAGTGTGCTTATTCTTCTCCAACAGAGCAGCTGATGGGATTCGAACCACATGCCTTCCAGATTGCAAGACAGCTTCTTATCACTGGGCCACTAGAATTACTCTGTGTCTGTGTGTGTGTGTATGTATTCACTGAGCCATTACTATACCAGACGTTTTATATATATACACACACATATATGGATGTTTATTGAGCCATACTTACGATATGCCAAGAACTATTTAAAGCACTTTAAAGTATTAATTCTTTTAATCCTTACAGCTCTGTAAGGTGGTATCATTATTATTCTCATTTCAGACAAAGAATAACACTTGATAGAGAGATAAAACTATTCTAAGTGGTCTCTTCAAGCTGAATTCAGAGGGGCCTTGACACAAAGGATATCACTGCTAATATCAGATGGATCTTAGCTGAAAGCAGAAAACACCAGAAATATGTTTACTTGTGTTTTATTCACTATGCAGACATATGACTATGTGAATCATAACAAATTAAGGCTAACATTGGGAAGAATAGGAATCACAAAATACTTAATAGTGCTCATGCAAAAGTTATACACAGACCAAAAAAGAACAGAATAAGGGAACACTAGATAGTTTAAAATTAGGAAAGATAATGCACACCTATGTCTATTGCTGCACTGTTCACAATAGCGAAGAGATGGAAGCATCCCAAGTGTCCAGCAATAAATGAATGGATAGAGAAGCTACGGTATATTAACACAATGGAATACTACACAGCACTGAAAAATAAGAAACAAATAAAATATTATCCAAAATGGGTGACCTTGGGGGACATTATGCTAAGTAAAATATCTCAGCCACAAAAGGACAAATACTGCCTAATGGCACTGTTAAAAAGCAGGACTGACATGGGGGTTGGCGGGAAACTAAGAAAAGATGTGATAAAAAACGAACACTGAATTGAAATAGAGGAGGGAAAGAACTATGGAAAAGAAATATATGATTAGGTGTTATTTGCCTAACAATAGTCCCGAATAAGAGGTATATAGCAAAGTGGACTTGGGGGCGGGGTAAGGGAGGAAATTGTGCAATAAAAGAATTTTTTTAAAGAGAAAAGCAAACTGGGGGGGTAGGGAAGAAAATGTGCAACAATGAATGAATAGAAATCCAAGTTTTCTATAAACTTTCATTAAAATATCAATAAAAAAGAAAATGTTATAAAAAATTAGGAAAGATGTGGGTCAGGGTTGTATCCTTTCTCCATACCCATTCAATCTGTATGTTAAACAAATAATTTGAAACTATATGAAAAAGAATGTGGCATCAGGATTGGAGGAAGACTCATCAGCAATTTGTGTTATGCTATGTATGCAGATGACACAACCTTGCTTGCAGAAAGGGAAAACTTGAAACACTGCAGAAGATCAAAGAGTACAGCCTTCAATATGAATTACATCTAAACATCAAGAAAACAAAAAATCCTCACCATTTGATCAATAGGCAATATCATGATAGATGGAGAAGACGAAAGTTGTCTATAATTTAATTTTATTTGGATTCACAGTTAACATTTAAAGTAGCAGCAGTCAAGAAATCAGAAGTAGTGTTGCACTGGGGAAAAAATTCTGTCAAGGACTTCTCCAAACTGTGAATGGAGTAAGGATGTCAGTTTAAAGACTAAGGTGTGCCTGATCCAGGTTATGGTATTTGCAATTGCTTTCCATCAGAAAGTAGCACAATGAATAAGGATTACAGGAGAAGAACTGTGGTATTGACAAAGGGTATTAAATATACCGTGAAGTGACAAAAGAACAAGTAAATAATATATCTGTCTTGAAAGAAGTGCAACCAGAGTGCTCCTTAGAGTCAAGGATGGTGAAACTCTGTCTCACTTATATTTTTTGGAGGAATCAGTCCGAGGAGAGAGACAGCATAATGGGAAAACTACATGTTCAGAGAAAGAGAGGAAGGAAGACACTCAACAAGAGGAACCGACACAGAACCACCAAGGGCTTGAGCAGGACAGAGTTCGAGCTCTGTTGTTAACAGGGTCATTATGAGTTGTAGTCAACTTAACTACTTAGTTGTAGGCACCTAAAAACAACAACAACTGGTCTTACTTTGAATGGATTGTATTATATAAGAAGTCAGTCCCCAAAAAAAGGTATTCCTGAAGTCCTAACCCCTGGTACATTTGACTGTGATGTAGATGGAAAACAGGGTCATTGAAGATCCTACTGATATCAGTTAGCATAAGTCATTACATGTGGTATCCTTATAAAAGAGTGTAAGATCCTACACGACAAGGCTTCTAAATTACATTGGCTTCATCCCCTCTCCATTTCCCCCCTCGCTTGTCTCAGTCCAGTCACACTGGCCTTCTTTCTATTAGTTAAACACACAGAATGCTCTCCTAGTCTTGTTCTTTGTAAAATTGCCTTGCCTCTTCCTACAATATATTATCCGTTACTTTTCACAGGATTGCTCCATTATTAGCATATGGGTCTCAGCTTAAAAGTCTCCTTTACAAAGAGCTCCTCTCAATATTTTAGCTAAATGTGTTGTTGCTGTTAGATAACTCTTCCAGCCTATGAACAACAGACTGAAACATTGCTCCATCCATCCGGTTTCTCCCAACTCTGTCTATAATCTGTAATGATCCTGATTACTTACTTGTTTTACACGGTTATCTCCCATACAAGAAAGCAAATTAGCTCTTTGTCTTATCACCACTTCATCTCAGCAACAGTCTTTCAAAAAATAATGCTTAAATACTGCCATAAAATATAATCACTAATTCCTCTCATGAATAAAAAAATATTACAGACTGAAGAAGGGACATTCTTTTAAATACTTCAGAATTCAGGGCAGAAAATGCTACTTGAAATACACAACAAAAAAAAAGAGTTCCATTTGTGAAGGACAGACATGTCTCCGCTTAAATAGAAAAGAGGTCAAAGCAAGAAAAAGGGGCTTCTTACCATTTCTGCATATTCCACCTGCTCCTCCTCTCTGTACAGCTCTGAGGGCAGGTTGTAAATACGTAAGATGTTATCAGCACTATTAGTCAAGATGCAGGAACCATCTGGGGCCCTAAGAGTAAGAAAATAGCAGGCTGGACAGTTACATGATTTCCAACTATTGAGCTAGGATTGAGCCAACCTCTCAACAGGAATAAATCCCGGGTCCTGAGAGATGGGGAGGGCACAGCCCTACTTGAAACTGAATATCCTTCCTAAGAGGGATTCTTACTCCTTACCCTACTTTTGTCTCAACCAGGTCCTTCTCCCAGATAGTAGAGGTGTTTTCTGGTGACAGTACAGAAGGTCTATCTTACTAGATGCTGACAAATCCATTACAATTCATACCCAAGAACAACTAATTGACACGCTGCTGTGTCCTGTACCAGCCTCACCACCTCGGTCCTGCTCTCGCCATCACCATTACCATTTGCAGCCTTTCAAGAAGTTCTCTGGTTGGGAACTAAACTCTGACCAGGAGCCACTGAGGAATCGAGGTAGCTGGGAAAAGCTGTAGTTCCAAGTTCTGGAAGAAAGATGAAAACAACAGACCTGGGTCGCCAGAGGAAATAGGAAATGTGTCTAAAGGGGGTGAGGGCTGGCCGATAAAGCATGTCGCACACTCCCAGCCTCTTCGGGTTCCAGATTCAACTGCCATTGTCACTTACGTGTTTCCTTCACCCTCTAAAACCGGTTCTTCAGCCACACTTTCCACGGCTACTCCAGGTCCCAACTCTGGCCCATTCATTTCTTCTGCAGGGATGGTAGTATTTTCAGGTTCTCGCTCCTCGATCTGATAACTCAACTCACTAGGAGTACCAAACTCTATTTCCAAGAGAGTGGAGAAAGAAGCCGGGCCCTCCTCACTCAGTTCTGGGGACAAAGCTGAGACAGCCACAGCATCCGATGATAGCCCGGCCGGATCATCCCCGTCGGGTGGCGTTGGGATCGATGCAGGGTCCGTGTTTTCATCCATCGGGTAACCCTGGGGCGAAAGGTCGGCTCCGGCAGGAACCTGGACGGCAGGAAGGCAGTCAGAAGCTAAAGACTGCGCATCCGGCGTCTTCATGCTATAGGGAAAGAGTGGTCCCGGGCAGGGTAACCTTTATCCCACTGCCCACTGCCTGCCCCGCAAAGGGAACAGACACTATCACAGTTGGCACGGATCCTGACAGACCTGAAGAAATCCACTTGCGCCTCCCTGTCTCTTCCGGGAGGTGGCAGGAGCCTCCCAGCGCGCTGGACCCGCTAAAGCTTTAGCTCAGCCTGTCGCTGCGTACCACTTGCTCTCGCGGGATTTGGGTTCATCTTTCTATTGGACCTCCGTCTCCCAGATCAGATTTCGCGGGATACCCAGGAGGGGAGGGGCGGGGTCGGAGGTCAGACAAGTTACTTTTTCCCGTGAGACCACGCCCCCCCAGTGCTTCCTGGGACTTGTAGTCTCAGCGCTTTTACGTTTTTAAGAAAGCGCTGGTGCTCCGCCTGCCATCAATTGCGGTCATTCTTAAAGTTTAAAGTCCTTTTTCACAACAGAGGGCGCCAGCACCACATTTGACTTTACAGGGTTTTTTTAAAACTGGGGGAGTTTTGGTGACAACTCAGAATCCACTAGCGACGCTGCAGGATAAAGACGGGTAATCTCCCCTGTGACCAGAAGCCAAATGAAGGGTCAGCAAAGTGTCAGTTCCGACTCCAGAGCAATTAACTTGAGGTTTTTTTAGTTTATCAAATGTCCTAGAACTCTTTTCAATCATTTAATAAACATTTTCTCTCTATCTGGAGCAATGACGATCAAAGACACCCAGTAATAATTCTCTCAAAAGACTAGTGTACGCCAGAATTCTACTCAGCCTTCACGACCTTGAGATGGTGCCCAACTACCACTGCTGACTTACCTGAACAGGATCACCATAGGAGGTCCTGGATAGGGTAGAAGAAAAGGTGGAGCAAAAACTCATAATAAAAAATAGCCAGGCTTACCGGTCTGATAGAGGCTGAGGAAATCCCAGATACTATGATCCTTAGACACTATTCAGGCATGGAGCTGAACTCACGCTTAAAACTCAACTTTCAGGCAAGCAATAGGCAAGCTTTGGTGGCCTAAATGCCAAAGAGTTGCACTGTCAACCCAAAAGCAGGAAGTTGTATGCCTATGTTCATAATGGAAAGAGCCCAAATAACCATTACGTTAAAAAAAAAAAGGGTTGAGAAATTGTGATACATACACATAATGAAATACATACAACACTCAAGAACAATGGTTTCATAAAATACATGGGAGAGTCTAGAGAGCATTATGCTCAGTGAAATAACTCAGTCTCTTAAGAAAAAGTACTGCATATGATCACTGTTGTAAAAACAGAAGGATAATTGAGCAAGATGTGTATAAATGCTTGAAAAGGGAAGGAGAATGGGGGAAGGGAATAGCAAATGGGGAAAGAGGGAAATCAGTAGGATAGCAGAAGTTAGTGGGAAGATGGGGGAAGAATTGGAAAGATTCAATGAGAATTTTAAAAGATAGGATTATGGTAATAGGCATAGAGCAATGGTTGTAGTTGTATACCACAGAGTCTGAATCGATTGCCCAGAGCAATCTGGCACAGAGGCTGGCAGCCTCAAACTGCGTGACTTTGGGATTGCAGCCTCTTGCCACTAGGCCATCAGAGCAATTAATATATATCATATCTGAGTTGTGGGAGGATATCAAGGGTATCATCCAAGAAGAGTGCAAACGTTCATTACAAAGACAGAAGAGGAAGATCAAAATGGATGTCAGAAGAGACTCTGAAAATTGCACTGGAGCGCAGAGGAGCCAAAGCAGAGGGAAGAATTCGAGATACTAAAGAGTCGAATAGAAGATTTCAAAAGGCAGCACAGGACGACAAAGTAAAATATTACAATGAAATTTGTAAGGAGTTGGAGTCAGAAAATCAAAAGGGCTGAACTAGCTCAGCATTTCTTTTTTTTTTTTGTATTTTTTTTTTTTAATTTTATTGTTTTTGTGTGCGTGTACCGTCAAATCAGATCTGACTGGTACAGGAGGAGATTGTCCCTCCTTCCTCAGCAAAGCATCTGGTGGGTTCGAACCCTGCGCCTCTGGGATTGTAGTTGCAGCTCGTTGCCACTAGGCCACCAGAGCTCCCCTCAGCATTTCTTAAGCTCAAGGAACTGAAGAACAAATTCAAACCTCAAGTTGCTATTATCAAGGATGCTTTAGGCAGAATGTTAAATGATCCAGGAAGTATTAAAAGAAGATGGAAAGAATATACTGAGTAACTGTATCAAAAGGAATTGGCAGACACAGAAGAATAAGGCCCCAGGAATAGATGGTATATCAATTGACATATTTCAGTTAACAGATGCTGCCCTGGATGTGCTCACCAAGTTGTGCCAAGAAATCTGGAGAACAA